CTTAACACTCATACCAGTGACCTCCCACAAGCAGCGAAGAAGCTTACTTACGCTGACGATATCGCGCTAGCAACTCAACATACCATCCATATTTACGGCTGGCCTCCCTATTCTCACGCTATATTTTAACCAGTGAAAACTATACTCAAAACCAACGAAAATTGAAACGACGGTCTTCCACCTGGACAACAAATTCACAAAGGAGAAACTCAAAACTGAGTTCTAGTCAACGCCTGCTGCACGAAATGGTGGCAAAATATCTAGGTGAAGCTCTTGATCGAACCATCACGTTTATGCGACATTTTGTGAAAACACGGCAAAATATCAAGGTTGGGATAAATCTGTTACGTACACCTGCCGATACCTCTTGGAATGTAGGTACCCAGTAGTGCGAACTATGCCCGTGGCATTCATGTACTCTGCCGTGAAGTAATGCTCCACTGTTTAGAGCTACAGCTGCCACACGAGAAAATTAGACAAGCAGCTCAAGGAGGCAACGGGAATCATATGGCAGAAACTTTGATGACAACCTAGGCGCAGCAGTTACCGATTCCAGTGAATACTGAACGCGCTTATCTCCGTATGGGTCAGCAAGCATCTCGCGTTTTCCAGACCGCTGCTGCATGTCGTTTGCTCGCCATCAACCGTGTCTTCCAACAGTCGTCGCCACGGCGCCTGGAAACACGTTACGCACCGGATAACGAGGGATATTCCTGAGACTGATGACCAGTGGCGAGATTCAGGGGCGTTCCTCACCGATAGCAAAGACCTTACCATCAACTCTACCACAGCATTCCCTGGCATGGACTCACCTCGCCAAGAATGGTCGAGGATAAGTTGGATTAAGACAGGACAGAGGCACTGTCGAAACCCCCCGGTGTTGCAAAATGAAGTCCAGCAAGGAATGTGATGGCAGTGAAGCTCAGACCATACAGCACATTATTTTCGATTTCCCACTGCGAAAGTTTGACAGCAGCGTAACTGATGTCCCGGATACTACCATGTAGGCCATTCATTGGCTCAAAAATTTGAAACAGTCAAATATAAGTTGACGGTTGCCTACCCCTACCAACCTCAACCATACGACAGAAATCTATCATTTAAGAGCTCACATGCTGAATACTAATAGTCATCCTAAATCTGCTCAAATTGATTTGATGAAATATATGTGTATCTTTCGTTCAAGCAGACAATTCTGCGGTCTTATAAACCAATTCCAATTTCTGCGGGTCAGAGATTAAAAATCAGAATCGCACACAGGCATCAAATATAACAAAGTGCATTCCCCTACGCAGCTACGGTATCCACGAGGCAAATCAAAAACTCTGAAACAGTTGATTAACTATGCAACGGAGTCAGCGGTAACCGGAGGTGGTAAACCATTTCTAAATTTGCAAGTAAACTCAGAATACCGATGTTAATTTTTGATTATTTCAAGATTCTTAAAGCAGTTTCATTTTATAGGTATGAAGCGCGGTATGCTGACGAAAAAATAAAAGTTCTCTGTGTTTACTGTAGGAAGGTTGCAACCTTACTACTTGGTCGAACTACAGAGCGACTTCACTGGCTTCGCACCCTAGAAGTTCTAACGTAATTTTGGACAGCATACGGAATCAGGTGAAACTGAGGTCGAGGTAAATCAGAAAGGTTAATAATCAAAAAACAATGGAAAAAATAATTAACGTGACTGAGACTATGGATAAATTCGGGGAATTAAACCAACCAAGGCGGCTGCTGTTTTGTGAATTACTCTAAGGCCTTGGACTCTGAGCAACACAGTAATCTTTGGAACAAGGTATTCCTACCGCATAAGACCAGTAGATAACTTTTAGACTAAACGGTTCGCCATCAGCGCAAAGGTGCTTTACGATAAACCAAGGCCTCCTACCTCATCTCAAATTTTTACTGCAGCGGTGATACGAATGGCGTTGGAACATTATGCCGTTTCAAGATTGAAGCAAGAAAATTTAACCCGCGACTTGCAGGCGATGTAGCATCTGCAGCGGTATCTCTAGCAGAACCGCAAAATAAGGTAAGATTGCAAAATCAATATCTAGCGCTAGAGCTAATAATGAAGAATTAAATATAAAAGCATCCGGTTACGTAGAAAACGAAATCAATGTAAAGTGATGTTCCAATGATTTCAGATAAGTAGATCAAAAGATTTCCCGAACTGATAAAGAAAAGACATTCGTTTAAACTCAACGCGATTCAAAAACGCTTCGTTACAGGCACCAAAAAATGAGTT